CATACGACAGATTTCGTCTTTTTCGACGGGGGAAAAAGTTCCAGGGATTCATCTCCTTCGGCCATCCCAGTAAGTAGTAGACATATTAGGGAAGTAACACGTAACATTTTAATTATATTTTATTAAAATGAACGAAATGACTCGAAAAAAGATTCGTTCATTTGCTGAACGAGACTCAAAGGTCCGAGTCGGTAAAATGATCCGAACTTCCCATCACTATTACACACAGGTGACTCCGCTCGCACCAAAAGGACGGGGAGGGGTCGTGTGACTCACACAATTGAGGGAGTCCTGCACTTTCCGTCACTTTTGACACGTAAAAAAACTGCGCATACCGCAGGAATGGTATAATGGAAAATTTGAGTGGTTTTGAAACCGTGACTTTTCCTTGAAACCGGTTACCGTCCCATGCCTACTGACCACACATCACCATGAGACTTACACACTGGCTGATGGGAATCGCTCAAGAAAAGAGAAGAGAAGAGAAGGGAAAGAGTCTCAAATGTTTGTACAACAGAGACAATGATGAGGATATTTTTAGTCATTAAGTTTGTGTTCACCTGACTCTGTTTCTAGAACATAATGTATTCATGAGTAGTAAATATCGCAACACTGCTTTATGGAAATGAATGATTGACTTTTACTATTTACTATTTACGAGTGCCTATTCTTTAATTGCATACTATTTTGTAGCTATGAGACGAAGTGATGACTTTTAAAGAGACAAGCGTAATTCTATTCTGAGCAAAATGCTTCCCCGCCTGGAGCCGCCCACCGCTCTTTCTCTGACGGACTTGAGCTCTAGTTGTGTTCTCTCACATTACACTCCATAAAGAGCAAGGCAGGGTGTGTAGAGCTGCTGGCTGCAGGCCATTTCCTCACATTAAGATGCCGAGAGCTGTAATGTTTCATCTGCAGCTCCTTACATGGCATCTTTGCACTTTGCACACAGACAATAGATCACAGTATACTTGTTCTGTTTCAACCTGAGTTCTAAATCGCATTCTGTCATTCATCACTTGCATTGCGTCATTCCCTTAAATCTCTATTTCACTATTCTGCCAAGTGCATGTCATATCACGGAATTTGCTGATTCTCTGGCTTTGCTTTCAGATCTGCTACCTTACAGGAATAAGCAGCTGTATTTTTTTCTGACAGTATTCTTTATTGGGTTGCCATGTGTTAGGATGCCACAAATCTGAGTTTTACGTCTTGCCTTCTTGCCCCCCTGACCACTGCTGCTCCCATGGTGCCTGAGCCCTCAGCTGTTCCCAGATATCACGCAGGCCACCCGCTGGGCTTTTATAATAGGGGCTGTGTCCTGCTGAAGCACTGGACCTTGGTGGTCAAAAGGTTAAGGCCCAGATATACTTTTCCGCTTAGGGGTAAAAAGAAGTTTGAAATACCTGAGCAGCGGAACTTTTAGCGACCAATGGTAGTTCCAGAAAGTTCACTTTGGCAAGTTGTTTCAAACTCCAAATAAACTTAGTTTTGGACCGGATGTTGATCAAAATGACTAGTGGTCGACCGATATATCGGCCGATATTTGGCATTTTTCAAATATCAGCATCGGCCGATAAGCTTTTCTGTTTGGCCGATGTGTTTGAGGCGGGACTTTTATTTTGATGGCGCTGAGTGCGGCAGTGCCTGAGCACACAGTGCTCACATTCTCCCTGTTCGCTGTCATCGTTCAGTTCTGTCTAATATGGATAGAAGTCTGTCTAATAATCCGATAGAACTGTTAAAGAAAGGAATTAAAATGTATACAAAAAGTATCATAACAATTGCTTTTTTTATTATTAGTAATAGAAAGGCAAACATTATAATACTTTCTCGTTTGCTGTCAGCATTCAGCAAATACTCATTTACATAATTTAAACAAATCTTTGAATGGCTAATGAAAATTTAATTTCACAAACCTTGCAAACTTAGTCAAATCCAGTTGTGAGATCTTGTGAAGTGTGCATGTGACCTGCATGATCGCGTGTTCTCTGCGTGACTTTCGGTCCGTGCAAATTGAATGCTTTAAACATAAATTCGTGATTTTTAAAATTATGATGCTCTTTATGCATTTGCCCACTGTCATATTTTTGTTGTCTCTAAATTCCCCACATACTCAGTAATGTTTTGCATATTATCTGTATAATTTCCAGATAATATTCAAAATAAAAAATATTAAAATCCTTTTTAATTATTATTATATTTTTATGAAATGTTGAAAACAGTTGTACTGCTTAATATTTTTGTGAAAATCTTGACTTTTTTGAGATTGTTTGTAAATAGAAAGTTCAACAGGTTGAAATAAAAATATTTTGTAACATTATTAATGTTTGTGACATGTTTATATAAATATTTTGTGAGATAAAGTATATGTTTGAAACTATATATGTATTTTGAAATTGATTGCTGTTCATGATTAAGGGCTCAAGCTCTCAAGCTCTAACTCCCATGGACTTATACATGAATCAGTAATAAAACTGACACAACGGTGGAGATGGGGTGGTAAAGGGATGCCTGAATAATTTTTTACTGGTGTGAGTTAAGCAGCCATTTATACATGCTGACTCTTGCATCGTGACTGGCAGGATTAGAGGAACATGCTTCTCCCAAACCTTTGTTTAAAACTCCTATAAACTACAATTAGGTTCAAGGTTGTGGTTAATAGCTGTTGAAAATGAGTTTCAAATGATATGAAACACAAATATTTTGTTTCAAGCAGCCCAATGAGGGGTGTTAGCAGTACTGTATAAGCTATATTATCGTATACACGCAAGATGTACACACACACAAACACACACAGTTACAGACATCTGTAACCAGCCCTAAATGTTCAGGAAATACTTAACATGACTCACTGTGAATTTCACATTTTCCAAACCCTAAGCAGGGCCACAAGTATTAAACTCCTCCCTTTAGCACACAGAGCTGCAAAAATATCTCCAACTGAGCAAAACAGAGATAATATTCTGCATTCCAGAAGAAAGAAATTGTATGTTGATGGGGGTTATGTGTTTGATGGAGGTAGGGGATTGGGAAAGGGGCACAGAGAAGGAGAACATACAGTATAAGCCCTGTGTAATTGTGGCTCTTAAATTCGATTTTCCTGTTTCCATTAGTTATATGCTCATTAACAAACATGTCGAAAATACTAAGTTTCACTTTTGGAAGAGTGTGATCCACGTGTTTTCCATAAAGCAGGCAAAGTGATCTAGCTGAAAAAAACTCTGGCAAGTATCTTGAAGACCAAAGAGAGAAAAAGAACAGTGTTTTCACAAAAGTGACAAGGAGTTTTTTTTTTTTTTTTACAGTCTGAGAAAGCAGACACATTTTTTTAATTATAGTTTCCATGTATCACAAGACCAAATACACAGCTAAGCTGAAAATAAAATGAGAAAAGAAAGACATTTTTTTAAGAGATATATTGCAACAAAACATAAGAATGGCGATAGACCACTCTATTTCCTCATCAGTGCCTCTTTTATACTATGCTCTAAAGCAGGGCTGTCCAAACTCGGCCCTGGAGGGCCGGTGTCCTGCAGAGTTTAGCAGAGTTCAACTGACTTCTCTTGTGGGTGAAAATACAAAATTAATTTGGGTGTGTGTCACTGCTTGGTTCACTGCTCCTCACCAATACAGTTATCCAGTGAGCTAAATATTTATTGAGCAAAAGTTCTCTTTCTTTATTTTTATAGTTTTATTTACTTTTAGACACATACTGTATAAATGTAATAAAATGGATCTTTGTGCCACTTTAAAACAAAGGAAATTTAAAAAATGCAATAGGAATCACTGGGCAAGAGCAGCATCTGTGTTTAACACTACTGTGTTTATTCTTAGTGTGCCTGTTCACTCAATGAAAACATTGGAACTAGTGACGCAAAAAAACTAAACAAAAAATAATGTTTCGTATGTAAATTTAGGTACTAATAAATTAAACCAGTCTTTGGACAAAACTTTTAAAATTTTTATAAATGTCAATAAAAAACTATTGCGAAATTACACCGTTTCCTAAATGACTAAAACGTAATTTTTCCCTCTCGCGATAAGTCATGGCGATGGATGTTGGTAGGTTTACGTATCGCAGCCACTGCACTAGCCATCATTTTTAATCAAAGGAGACGTATGCGTGTATCTTTAGCAAAGCAGCACGGAGAGCCACGTCTGGGATTCTTACATGCTCGCATTACGTGTGCAGTGTAAATAAGGAGTTATCCTTCCAAGCATTAATGGCAAGGAAAGCCCCTTATACTTGACAGCGGCCATGTATGAGGTGTTTCCTGGAGGTTATAGTACATTAAAGAATGATCATGTGATTTTTTCGTATTACGTAGGTGACCTGTAAATGCCAAAAAAAAAATTATATTGCAGTTTTGTGATATATTCCTTTTTCGAATTGCCTGAAAAACTACCTAATGCGAGTGTACAAACTTTATTGCGATATATCGGAGTTTTTACGAAATTTACATGTTTCCATCAGGTGTGTTTTCAATTTACAATAATTTCAAGTTGCGCAATTTGAAGGGTACTGGAAACGCAGCTATTGTAAAGTTCTTCAGCAATGAGCGTCCTCAATATTTCAGCTTAACAAATTTTACATATTGCTATTTGCAGTCTAAGTGAATTGTGTCTAGACATCCACACAGCTGACTTGTTTACCTTATCCACGTTGGGTGCACGGAATAGATGTTGGAAAAAATTTAGTTTTTTTGCTTTTTCGACCAAATATTTTCCGTTGCCAAAATTTCAATGCATTGCTAATTAGAACTGCTAATAAAACATGTTTGCCACCCAGAGGAAAAATGGAGAACACTCAGATAATCCTGTGTAAAGAAATGTATTAAAATTATTCATAAGAGACTGTGTCAAACCACTTTATGTGACCACATAAAGCGGCAGGATTTCAGACTGGGTTGAGAGACTAAGGAATGAGAGATGGAAAACAAATGAGATTCAATGAGAAAAGAGGATAATAATGTGAAATCGAGAAACTGATCTCTTACTGATGTAGAAGGTGCTGGGTGCTTCTGTGTTCTCATACTTCAGTTCCAGAAGACTGCTTGTTTTATTGTCATGACGAAGCCAGAGAGAAACCCCCAAGATTACGCAACCAGCCAGCTATAAAAAACACAGAGAGAGGAAGAAAAATTTGAACACATTTAATCACACAGTTATTAATGGCACAAACAAAACCAGCAAATCTTTTTGCAAACTTTGTACGTGTTGTTTTTTCCTAATATTTAGGCTTTCGCATATTCAAACACAACTTTCTTCTTCATCTAGACTCTTAAAGTGGTGTGTGGATGCATTTTGTCAGTCTCCTTGGGTCTATCTCTTGTAGTCTGCTTATTTTCCATTCAACAAAGAGAAAGGAGACACATTCTGTGAGGCGGGGGAAGGGAAGGATCTTGTTACAGACCCCATCTAGAGGCCCACAGTGCCGAGGGTTAAGAATATCAAAACATCACAGTATGGTTGAGCCCGCTTTTCTCTTCACATGGCTCACAGTGATGAGCATTCAGTTGATTGAGGCTCATAAACACATGGCATATTCACGAGAGAGGGTGCTCACAGACTACTGCGGCTAGGGGGAGGGAGAGATAGAAAAGGGGGGAAAGGAAAGAGGGCGTAGGCAGCTGAGAAGACCATTTAAAGTAGTGCTACAATGTGTGGTATTGTATGTGCCAGCAGATAAGAAGCGGGAAATTTCGGGTGGGTGAGGGGCAGCTGCGTGACAAGCAGCAGAGGTTTATTTGGCTTTGTTTATACGGCTTTATTTACAGTGAAATCACTGTCAAATCAGATGAGAGCTGGGCCCTCTGAGAGCAGCTGGATCTCGTCAGGAATGCGTAGGCTCTGTGGAGGAATGCAGTGCGCAGATAAAGTGCACTAGAGACCGCCAAGAACCTGGTGGGTGCCGTTAGAAGCAAAAGAGATCTAGCTACACCGCACAGGGGAGAGTACCGGGAATGTGAGACAGAGCAAAGACCATTAGCAGGAATGCTGGGATGGGCAGATTGCTCAGCTCTGGCTGTGAAAACAATGGACTTGTACTTCCTTCCTTTTAATTCTCTCGTTCTGTAAACCCTTTTAATCAAGAATCCAGCACTCGCACCAGTCCTACAGTACATCTGCGAACAGCTGCATCGCCACAGCTATTCACCCCAGGTCAAACCAAAAGGCATTTGTTGGTGCAGTTCTTACACACCACACCCCCAATAAAGGATCACGAGGGGAGCACTTTCTCTTCTCTCTAAATGCTTTTTCCCATGGTCACTGGTATTTCACACCTGTTGATGTAATAAAGAAACCAGAGCCCCTCAAGACAGAGGATTTTGAGCATTTATAACAACTGTTATCAGTAACTGAAACTAAAACTATTAAAATTGTTTTTGTCAATTAAAATTACGCTGAAATAAAAGATAAATAGTAGATGAAAAGTTAAACTTAAAAAAAAATGAAATGTTGCTTTGCCAACTTAATGAAATCAAACAAGTTGAAGTACTAAAATTGCTAAAAAATAAAACTGAAATAAAAATAAACTAAATAAACTCCATTGAAATGAATAAGAAAAATAAAGAAATAAAAAAGAATATAATTTTTTTAAATTAAAATAAAAACTAAATATGTAAAACTTTAATCTAATTCAAAATTGTAATACATACTATAACAGTAAAATTAATAGTATAATAACTTTATAAAAATATTATTTCATGTTATGTTTTATTTACTTGTATATTTTAATTTGCCTAAACTTGTGCATTAGCATGCTGGATAGTGTGTGAGGCTGTTTAACCATAAACAATTTCTGAATAAGGAACTTTCTCTCCAGCCAAACACAGGGGAGAAAAACCTTTTCCACAGAGGGTAAAAGTGTGAGAGAAAGAGTTCCTTCCATTTATCTTTCTATCTTTCTCACTCTCTCCAAAGGCCAGATAGGCCCATTCCAGAGCTCAGGCAGCCTGCTGCTTAGCAACTGAGTAAACAGAGGGCCAGCCAAAGGGAGAGGTTTTGAAATGATGGTTCATGGAGAGGCTCTGTCACTTTAAGCACCCCGTCCTCGGTGGATTCCACATTACATTCACTCATAATGAGTTCGGGAATATCTGAGTAGACAGAAGAGATTCCCCTAAACACAAGAGTTTCCAGTTGACCAGAGGTGTCAGGGGGAGCTATAACCAGAATAAGCCATAATACTTGTGGGGTGATCTGGGGGCATTCTCCCTTCTCACTTTCCATACTTTAACTGAATTTATGTAGGAAAAAAGCAGGAAATGCCATTTATTTTGTAGAGCAAAACACAAAGATTAATTTAATAATAATCTATTTGTCATACAGGATATTTGGCCATATAACAAGCTATTACAGGCAATCATATGGCAATCCATGCTATAATGCTTTTAAATAAAAGCTGAGTATGCTCATAAAAACTTTAACTGATTGAATTACAACTTTTTTGTCATTTTATTGTGAATTTTAAAAACATCAAATGGCCTGTTTACACAGAAAAAATCATGAACAGTGACTACTCAATCATTGCAGAAATGACGACCACTAAATGCTTGGTGATACAAGACTACAGGTTAAAGCTGTTGTAGGCCTGGAATAGATATTTATCGACAGTACACCTTCTTCGATATCGCTAGAAAAATAGTTCGATATAGCGCACGATATAGGCACGTACTATGAGTGACGCAGACCGCACACACAAACACGAACACATGCTGAAATGAGTGCTGTGCCTGCCTGTGATGAGGAGATTGTGAATAAAGAATGAATATTAGTCGAATTTAAAATAAACATTTGCATTTGAATGTTAGGTGTGCATCAGGGAGCGTCATCAGTGGCGCGCGAGATGCGGTGATGATGATGTAAGTGACGTTGTTGCATTCTAATGATTTGTTAGTCTAGCCCACGAGACGCGCCGCTGCTGCGTTATTCATTCAAAATATTAGAGAAATATAGAAGCTCAATGTGGAGAAGATCTTGATTAGGTTAAAACCGAAACCAAGCCATTCACACAGAACACATCTTTAGACATGTTTCACGAGTTTACAATAACATATAATGTGATAAAGCAATTAGTAGCATATTTGGCGTGCTGTCCAGAGGGAGGGCTCCGAGCTCGGGTTAAAGCCCAAACCCCCACCCCCATCCCAAGACTGGGAGGAAATCAGAATAGTAGTGGGGTGTTGGGGTGGAGGCGGGATGCTGGAAAACTTTCGTGGAACTGAGGTAAGTTGGCTGTATATATACACACACACGTATGTGCTTGTTAAGGTGATTAGCTGAAGAGCTCCACCTGGGCCAGACTGATTGATTATCTGATCGTGCTCCTCCCGAACCTTGTTAATAAAACATCATATAGAAAGCCATGCAAAGTTAAAACAGTTTAAACTTTTAGAAAACACGTCCTTTTCACTGCGTCTCATATGTTTTTAAATGCAGTCTGTGTGAATGGTGCTTCTGCTCTTTGGATTAAGCAATGCATAAATACATGATGCTGTTTTGTTCATAATTGTTTATGCAATTTACGAAATTATGTTAGATTTTTATGAGTTAATTTAGACGTAATGCACGTTTTTATAGTTACTTCCTTGCGTTGACAATTTAAATGTGCCGCTTATTTTGCTCATTGCGCCCTCCTGTGGCCTCGGGAGACAATTATACCTATACAATAAAGACCTATTTAATCTGCATATAAAACATTAGAAATGAGATATGTTTAATTTTTATTGTGTTTGATTGTTAAAGTCCCCCTGTAGTAAAAACGTTATCCTTTAAAACTCATCTTTGATCATAAAAATTACATATTTAAATTTTTGTTCTTGTGAAAATAATTTTCTCATGCCTTAAAATAGTTTGAATGCAACTCTACACCCTTGCCTCATTTACCACATGCGGATCTATGAATATGCAAATTAGCCCCGCCTCCACTCAGTCACACACCAGCCAGCCATGAGCCAGCGCTTCATGATCCACTAACTGACCTGTAGTAAACGCGATACAATGGCAATGGCAAGAGGAAATATTGGTTTAATTAAGCCATATGTGTTTGAACCAGAAATATAAGCTGGTATGCTCCACGTAAGCAAGGAGACTGATGGCTAACTTCGTGAGGTAACATTATCTGTTTGCGCTGGTTCGTACACGGATAATGACTGATAAAACTGTTTTTACTAGCAGACAACTACAGTGGATACTGTAACATTCGTTAAATTTACTTACTTGACAATGTTGTGTCCTCAAAATGCCTTGAAGACTCAAATGCAGCCAAGTTTGTGATTCCAAATCATACAGTGTGACGTGCGGATGTCAATGCGGGAGAGGTGCGTCTGACTCCGGGCTACTTTTACACTGCTGCCGCTAACAGCACATGACATCGTGAAAATAGGGGGAAATATTAACAGTTAGCGAAACATCTACAGAAAAAATATAACTGTTACCGGATTATCCTGGCTGCCTTCTCACTAGACCTTTGCAGCACAGTTAATGATATGCTAAGGATAGGATCCTTTGACGCGATTGGTTGAGTTTTGTGACGTAGCAAAAAACAGGCTGTTTCAAACCTCGTTTCTGTGACTGCCTTTGGGAAACTACTGTTTTAAGGAGAAAATACTCAGCAATGGTGTTGATAAATGGATTGGCACATGGTTTGTCTAAAAGCATATTAAAAACACCACATAGACAAATAAACAACATAAAAAACTTGATTTTCACTACAGGGGGACTTTAAAACAAAAAAATATTTGTTGTTTGTCTCAATAAATTGTGTTAAATATAAATACTGTGGTTAAATAAATTTTTTTTTTATATATTGCTTCTTGTTTTAAAAAAGGTTATAAAAAATGTCCAAAATTATCGATACCGAACGATATGAAACATTATATCGTTGATACATTTTTTAGCTATATCACCCAACCCTAATCTGTTGTATGAAAAAAAAACTGCTTCTCAAATGAGAAAACAAATGTTGGGTGGGATTTGATTTTATCATTTTTAGGAAATTATTGGATCGTTTGCTAACTGCTTAAATCGTTTCATGTGAGCGACAGGTTGCTGGACTGTAATGATTAGACGACCTTAAGCTCAGCCCTCACGGCGATTTACATAACGTT